AAATCTTTCACGGGCCGGGTTCGGGGCGGGGCATCCCCACCCCGCCCCGTGCCCCGCCCCGCGACGGGGCACCCCATATCGCCCCGCCCCGCCCCGCCAACCCCGTCGGGGCGGTTTTTTTCGCCCCATTCGGGGCGGGGCGGGGCGGTTTTTTTTGCCATCCCTACATAGACTAGTACTTTAATATCATTTGTGTTAGTTAACATTATTCTTTTTTCTTACTTTATAATCATATATTCTTCAAAAAATAATTATTACAAAACTCTTTTTTTTTTTTAATGAAAAATGAGGCTCAAACAAGGCCTAAATGGTTCCTCAAAAACCTTTTTGAATGAACAGCACGAATAATTAAAGCCACGACTGTATTAAAATTGATTGAAAATATGAATAACTTATTCATGCAGAAACAGTTTTATTCGAAAAAGAATACTTATTTACATGTCCTTTTAGACAATAACAAACTCTCAATTCTAATTGTCCATAAGCCAAGCAATACTTTCTCAGAATACCTCCACCCAACATCACCACCACTCTCAACACAATTAGAAACAATAAAGGTAATTGTGAAAGTTTGCTTAAATTCGATTCGAGTACCGAAAAAGTTGACATAGCAGTCTTAACTGTCAACCTAAAGGGCAAATAACTGGTCTGCCACATCACCTTACATGGATGTAAATGGCCAGAATTGTTGCCGAACCAACTTGAAACAAAATAAAGTTGAATGACCTACATGAAATCCAGCTAAAAGCTCTACAGAACCTGGGAACCAAGCAGTATAATATGCACATCTGGTAACCTAAACCAGAAGAAGATCAACATAAAAATTGATGATGGAAGTGTAACCTCATTATTTTCGTCAAGCACCAACTGAAATCAAAATGGGATGGGATACACGAGTCAGTTTCTATCTACTACTGATTCTACACACAAAATAAATACATTTATTATTACATCTTATTCCACTGTTAATTTGCAAACCTATTCAGATCACCCATCACTCAGATTGTTTCGCCCAACTTAAGGTTCGCAAACCTAGCACCGCAGCCATGTTGAACCTCATATGTTATCATCAAGAATTGCAGACAACAGCATTCCTTGAACAAACGCGCATCTCTGCGCCTTCTCCTCTTGATCTTTGATAGACATGGGAGCTTCTCTGATTTTTCTGCAAATAGAATCCAATAGAGTCAAACATCCAGACAAACTTAAAAGAACTGACTGCATAATGACCAGACATAGAAACATCACAAGAATGTGGATTATAATGTTGTTTTCCCCATTTTTCTCTTTTAATTACAGTCAAGAGAATTAAAGTACAAATATGAAGTAGTTCAACCATTTGCACCAGCTAAAAACAAATCTCTAGTAAAGACTAAAAGAGAGATCATGACTACTACAACTGGCCAGAGTGATCATTTTTCTGACTACTCTTTGAGTTCAAAAAAGGATACACAGACCACCTCAAACATTGCAATGCACACAAACAGGCAAGGTGCATGAAGTTAAAGGCACAAAAACGTCAAATAACATTTTAAAGGGAGTAAATACTATGCAAAACCAACCACTGATCTTCATAATGACCAAGGTTATCACAAACATCTAGTTGCGTTTCCCATATCCATTGACAAATATCTTACAAAATTAAAACCCAAAAGATGATAAACATAAGAAGCCTTTGAAAGACAAGCATAGTAACAAAATCCACAGAATAAATAATAAGTGCAGCAACTTAATTCGAGCATATAAAGTGCATCTTTGGGTCAATATCTCCTTCAACTTTTATCAAGTCGCATATTCCACACAAACAAAAAAGGATGTTTTCGAAATGTATGTAACTCTGATAATTACCAAAATGCACAATGAGATGATGACAAATGCAACCTTTTCTTATGACGAACAATAATAGCACGCTAACATGAATTATATATGTACAACTAGCCTTTTCTGCTCACCTAACTACTACAATGCGATAGTTGGCACAATTATTCGAAGATAACACTGTAATTTTGCAGATTCCCAGTATAACTGTTCCAGAGAATTGAAAAGATTGACATCACTCTTACAAATCAAACCAATTGTTGCTTTCGGACATTGAAGTAATGCAACTAATAAATAGTTAGAAGGTTATAATTGAAAATAAAAAATATGATAGGGCTCCAAAGTTTTGGTAACACTAAAACCCTGTAGAATGGCTTGTTTAATGATAGTATAGATGCCATGCCCACATATAAGCCAAGAGGAAGATTGCAAGATCTATGCCATACTCCCAGTCCCATAAGGAAATTTCTGTCCAATATATTACATGCTCTAGTTTTGCCAAAGCAAGCAACCATGCGCACGCACACTCATTTATATATATAATACGACATGGCAGTTATAATTCAATTCACCATTTAAGGAAAGTGTGTTCTTTCTTTGAGCCGATGGCTTGTCATTTCTATAGCATACAAGGCATACAAGCAAATGTGTAAAGTAAGATATCCTTGTGCTTGAGATGTAAATGACAATTTAATAATTGACAGAAACAATCAAAGTGGATAAGTTCACATACTAGAGGGACATCATCCTTAACCCTAATATTTGCAAAGGCTGTTCAACATCAAGTCATTCTCTTGTCAATTAGCTTCAGAATTAAAGAAATATTACACGTGAAGGCAACAGATTGGGTGATGGTCAAAACCATAAAATGAAGCAGCAAACAGAACAATATACTCGCAAAGAATATACAAAAACATAAAATGTATTATAGCTGGTAATCTTTTTTACCATTTCTAAATATTTTTACTCAAAAAGCATCAGGAAGAAAAATACTTTTTAAGTCTGGTAGCCAGAAGAAGTTAGAACGACGTCAAAAAAAAGGAAGAATCTTGGCATTTCCAATTGATTCTAATCACTCCCCACATCTATTTACTCAAACTTTGCAGTAGGATTCTTGCTCAAGTAACCAGATCCTCAGATATAGAAAAACTAGCCGACCAGAACAAACAAAAGGAAATAAGAAAGCAATTTATTACCTTTCTAAAACATTTCCAGCAGAGCTTTTCTTCACCGGAGTTGACTCTGATGAAGAGTGTGATTGAACACTCATGAAGTCATCACCCGCTGGCAAAATAAATGATGACAACAATGGGTCTGGAGCTGCATTGCTTGAAGGTACTGTACAGGAAGACCCTCCAAAGAGAGACTGCAAATTTCCATCTCTTAGTTCCCTCCTCAACAACGATAGTGTTGAATGTGAACCAACTTTACGTGATTTTCTCTTGCGCTGCATGTAATATCTAGTCAAGGAGCTCAAGGCAAATGGAGTTCTTATAATGACTACACGGTGAGATACACAAGTAAAGAAAAGTTAAGCAGTAACAATTTTTGCAAGAAATATCAAACAGAAAGATTTGGAAGCAAAAGAAGCTGATCTTGACATGGTTACCATACTTTCAAAGTTTTCAAGAAGTCCAGTACAAATCTCCTTTGGAGTACAAGTTAATCAAAACAAAAAACACGCGACAAAAAGAAAATAAGTATTCAATGCCATTGAATTTCACATTTATTGTTAGAAAGCAGTGCTTGGACCATATCATCAATACAAAGCGAGGGATTTTTTGAGTAGAACTTTTTTGAAGGCCAAGATGAAAGCAGCTGCCTTTGAAGTTATCGTCGTAGTGTTCTTCTCACTTAACATTTCACAAAATGTCTACTTAACCCTCATTTAAGAATAGCCTTCCAGTCAAAGTGTAGTTTCTAATGTTGACAGGGCCCAATGAAGGGTCAACTCGGCCATCAATCTAGTTGAGGCGAACTCTATGTAATACATATTATTTCCTCTCTCTCTCTCCCCTCTATCTTTCACAAGCGCACACACTAAAATCACTAATTTACCTCCATAAATCCATTTCTTACATTTACTCCCCTCCAGAAGTGTCCTAGTTACCATTACAAATGAAGCATATGTTTTCGATAGAAAGCTCAAAATGGACTGAGAATTTCTTCATCTTTAAACATAGGAACAATTTTGAATTATTAAAATTGACTAAAGGAAAATGCACTAGGTTAGCTTTAGTAAATACCGGATAATATCAATATATGGATTGATAAAACCATGTAACTCGTAAACCAATCAACTAATAAAAGGCAAAGTGTTGTGAATGTCACTACTTGGACGTGCAACATTGTTCCACATGTTCATAAGTCTGGAAATAAGAAATTTCTCACACGCAACCCTACTTGCTATAAACAGCTCATATACGCATTGTTTTTTAAAGAGCTTTTTGAGGCATACGCCTTGAATCCCGCCTCAAGTGAGGCTCTCATTGAACACCTAAATGTCATTTGCGAAGGCTTGTGCCTCGATTTATTGAGACTTACACCTCAAGGCCATGCCAAAAATTGACTAAGGTGTTCGCCCATTTGTCTTGCCTTTTCTAAGAACTTTATTGCTACCTTTGCTTTTATTTCTTTTCTTGCCTATACACTGAATGAAAGGAGAAGACACCATTGTTTTTAATTAACTGAGGAATACAATTATAACAATAAGTGTCATTTTCTTCTGAAACAAAAGGTGGAGGGTGATGATAAAGAATGCTGTAAAAAATAGTGATGAGAAGGATGATAGGGCAATATTTAAAAAAACACAATCAATTACAAAGGCGTTTTATCGCTTCAAGGCACTTTGAGGTGTAGCTTCAATATAGAACAATAAAAAAAAGAATAAAAAAATACAAAAATATGGTCATAATACACCATAAACCCTTTTAAAAATCCATAACAAAACTAATTAACAAAATGAAAATTCTACGATCAATAAAATCGAAAATAATAAGTTTTCAAATTAGTAATCATCTAACAAAATTATACCATATTGCTAAAAGTAGAGACAACTCAAAAATTTCATATATCATCACTACTAATATGATCTTTAAGGGAATCATTTACAACATTGCCACCATCCTCATTCCAAATTCCTTTTCATTCTGTAATCATCCTCTTATTGCAATGGTGAATAGCATATTCTCCTTCCCATTTTCCTTATGTGTAGGTAGAAAGGAAAAATAGGTAGAAAAAATACCCCTAAAACATTTTTTTGGATATAAAGAAATAAATCAAAAGACTAAGGCCATAAATGAAGCCCCTGTTGATTTTGATATTAATCAGATTATATCAAAATCTTAAACTTTGAAATGCAAGTTTTAGTTCAAAAAATCTGATTAGTATCAGGACCAAACTAAGGCTAAATATTTTTAAAAAGCAAGGGAAATGTGGGGACACCTTAGTTGGTTTGAGGCGTAAGCCTGACAAGTGGAAGGTGCAGGTTTGAGGTGTTTCATGACAGCCTCGCATGACGTAGGATTTGAGCATAAGCATCAAATAGTTTTTTTAAACCATGGATAGGGAAATCAAATATGTCGATAATTCTTTCAAATATGTTTTTTACTAGAAAAGGTCTGTGTTGTTTGTACTTTAGTAATAAATTACACTTTTGTTATGTGATTACTAATTAATAACTTATTTTATATTTGTTGCAAGTTTTTAGTAATTTAATTTATTATAAATATAGCACATTTTTTTCTTAAAGAACTATTTCATTTTCTATGTATGTGTTACACAATAACGTGCATCCTAAAGAATGTGTTCAGACCCAGCGATCTTATTTTGTTTACTTTTCATAGACCAAATTCTTCCCTTTTAGATTCTTTTCCTAGTTCAAGCTAACCTGGGTTAATGTGAGGATACAAGAAAAGAGAGGCTAACACAGGGATGTATGAGAAAAATTAGGAAAGAAACTTGCAAGTTTTAAACTATTTCTTTGATCTCTTCTCTTTAGATGTTCCCACCATGCGCAATCTACGTAATGCTGTATGGGAAATACAGAATAAAGGTGTGATAACTAACCTACAGTTCTGAGTGAAATTAATCTTGGTCTAGATTAAATTTGCGTTGTCCACAGTCAAGTAGTGATTTTGGTTGGACCATCTTCTGCATCAATTATTGAGGATTGCTTACATACCGAGGATTTTCTAAGTAGGGGTGCGTATACTTCAAGTTGGCACACGCCAGAGTCTGAACATCCAAGTATAGCACACACAAGTCGTGGAAAATAAAGATAGGACTTTCTATTCCAGGTTGTGAATAGGGGGTCCATTTACAATAAAGATAGGCGTAGAGATCAAGTTAGGAGTACTTGATTCAAAATAGATATATGTTTACATAAAACATGAATTTGCTGTCTAGTAATTACATTTCAGTTCTTCCCCTCAGGGCCACTGAGGTGAGTACCCGGCCGTAACTTCAGGGTCCCGTGGAATTAATCGAGGTGTGCGCAAACTGGCCCGGACATCCACGGTTATCAAAAAAAAATTACATTTCAGTTCGATTTTGGTTTAGACTAAGGTCTAGTGGTTTGTAATTCCAAACAATTGATTGCGTTTTGAGTGTGCTTACTAGATTAGAGGTAGGAAGGTCAGTAGTTTCTCTCTCTGGGTTCTCCATGTAAAATATGGTGTTGTACCATTACAATATTTATTTACTGAGTTAATTTGAAAGTACCTACATATAATCATTTAGCACTAGTATTCTTACATTGATTAAGGTATTAATGAACATCAAACCTACATATTGATGAGTATTGAAAAAAATTAGATAACTCAACAGACAAACATAAATCTGAAAGATAATACTTTATGAACAGAAACCATTTAAACCAGAAAAAGTGAAGGATTGTTCTGTCAGTTCTGCACTTGTACGAGTGCATGTGCTGACGTCCATCAAAATGTGTGTCAAATGATACTTTGTACATTTCAGATAAATTTGACAAAATTGAAAATCTGGAAGTTCTAAACAACATATTCAACCCCCCTTCTAGATTGTAATTGACTAGATATAAACTTTACATAGACCAATAAAGGCGTCTTGTGAGAAAACTTCAGAACAACATAGGTTTCATTTCCGCTTTGCTACTTTGGTCCTTAGAATTTCCACACACAAATATAAAGAAACAAAGAGAGCATACAAGAATATAACAAATTCAAAAAAAGCTGCAACTTCACAAAAATTGCAACTGCAAGAAAAGGATATATTAAAGGTATTCCAATGTTTCAATGAAATATGCTCAACCAGGACACGAAATATGCTCACAGAATAACTATTTTCAGCATAAATAAAATAAAATAATACAACACTAGTGCAAAAGGGAATTCAAGAAAACCCGCAACATAAGAAGTGTGACCGAAAGAAAGGATATCTTAAAGGTATTCCCATGTTGCAATGTAATATGTGCAACCATGTCAACACCAACCTTCATATCACAAATTGGACACACCTGAAAGAGTCAAGGAGGAGCCCTCTATCAGCTACAACACTTTGAAAAGAAACATACTAACAATTGTTTTATTTTGCAGATGAAATTATACTAACATCCTGCTCTCGACTGAAGTAAAGAATTTCCATGTTAGATTACCTAGAACGTCAACCCTCCAAGTGGCAACAGTGGAATAACACCACGAGAAACTAAAAAGGAAGGGGCAAAAAAGGCATGCTTAGTCTATTATTACTTTAGTTTGTCAACTGAAGATTATTTTTCTTTGCTATTGGATGCTGATCGTTTAGGCTGCTCGGTTTGGATAGTTGATTTCTTCTAGTCCCGAAACCCAACCTCCTTACATAATGTTGTTCTTTGGTTGGAGTTGCCGAAGTAAATACAAATATTTTATTCTGCAATTACTTCATCGTTGATTTTCCTGAACTTATGGGCAACATTATAGCAGCTAAAATGTAATGTAAATTGATGAAAAAGTCAGAAATTTAGTGAATAAAGTGTGCCCACAAATTGGTTTCTTATTTCCACATAATTTTTGCTTCACTTAAATGATATGTGAGTCTTAATGTTGTTTGACAATTTGGAAAATGTTAAAATAACCTATAAATGGAATATAATCCAATCCATTAATGATTCATCATGCGTCGATGATTTTATCAACTTTAGAAATCAAACAGGAAACTAACCATATGAATCGTCTCAACCTCCCTCCAAGCAGGGGAGGAAGGGGGAAACGTTCTACACCTTAGCATAAGTAAAAATTTCAACTCCACATTCATTATCACGTAACATATGCAAATAAATCATTTTCAACCTTCTTGGGACATGTAAAACAAGTAAAATATGAGCTATTGGTATTTCTCGAACTTAGCTTCTCACATTCGAATCACATGGCATAAAAAAAATTATCATTTTCCACACCCTTTTTGACCTTACAAAATGTTCAGCAACAATAAAAAGAAGCCAAGGAATTATACCCCATTTTTTGCTTCTACAGGATGCTCGTCATCAATATGGCAACAGAGTCCCACAATATCAAAATATTCCGAACAGAAAGGACATGGATACTCCTCCCTTACATCATCATCCATGTCAAATTCCTCGAATCCCATCAACATTTCTGCATTCAGACCATCCCATTTCATCCCTGCCAAAGTATCCCCGCACAAAGAGCCCATTAAATCCCAATCTTTAAATATAAAAACATATTATCTGTAAAGTTCACAAACCCAGATAAAAAGCCAATCTTTGATGGAAATGTAAAATAATTTGGTGGACTTAACAAACCCCACTTCAAAATTTGATCTCCGAAAGACCTCATAAAGATTCAATATTAGTGGCAACTTATATTTAATTATGGGTTCAACGAACCCCACAAAAAATCAATCTGTAATAGAAGTTATTGTTAATTTAACAAAACCCTCAAAAAAATCGAATCTTCAATATGACTACAAAATACCTACCCAACAGATCCATAAAAAGGCAACCTTTAAGGCAAATACACATTTCTTGGTCAAATTAAGGAAAACCCAGATGAAAACAACACATTTGAAAACGGAAAATTGGGGATTCTGTTTACCAGATCGAGATTGAAGAACAGATTGATAACGCCTGGAGGCGGAAGAAAGACGAGCAGCCCAAGAATCAGCGTCCATGGCTTTACTGTATTTAAATTGAAACTGCTTCGGAAGTCGAGCTCTCTTTTGAACAAAAGGAGCTGTTTAATTTAAGTGAATTAAGGGAGTGTAACGAGTGTTTGATTTATGAATTTCTTGTAGTATTCCTTGATTTGTGAATTTGTGAGGGGATATGAGAGAGAGAAAGAGAGGAAGAGCCGCTGCAGGGTGAAAGGAAATTCCACCAAGAGGAAGAAGAGAAGAGCTGCTCCACACTTTTTTATATTTTTGTTATTTTTTCATTTGACAGCTGTGTTTTTCTTTTTTTTTTTTTTCTCGACTTTAACATAGAAAAGAAAATTTCAGCATTTAAGTTTAGCCAATCTAAGCACACAATTTCCGTCAAATATCCGATATACTTGCTTGTGCATGGCATGTCAAGCATATTATGTTACGAGTAAAATAAAATGAGAACACATTACATCCGCATAAATGATTTTTAATGAGAAATAGACAAAAGAAAAATTAGAATGAAAAATGAAATGAAAAAAAAAAAAAAAAATTCATATTACCCTCCACCACCGACCACTACATACAGAACACCTACCTTCGATTTCAAATCGAACTCCACCATTGATATAAATCGTCATCACCTCGAACTTTGTCTTCAAAACCCTTAATCAATGCTTCTTTGATTGAGTTTTCCAAGCAAATCAATACCTTAAATGGAATGTAAACTGTTTTATTCACGTTGTTGACATCAACATAGTAGAAGTACTTGAGATTACTTCTATCTAAGGATGAATTGTGACGTTGAGTCAACAGAGGCTCAACTTCAACTCATCATCCCCTTGTCAGGAAATTGGGTTGATTGTCGCTTCAAACCTTGTGCTATAAATCCCAAAATGTTTAATTACATATGCGTAAATTAATTAATTTGGAATTTTCGAGTTCGGTGACAATGGAAAAAGGTGGAAAGGTGAAATTGCAAGCAAGGGTAGTTGTCGTCGACAAGGTGCGAAAATGTGATGGGTTAGTCGGGATAGAGTAGATTGTGGTTGGAGGATCTGATATATTTTTAATTTTCTTTTTTATATCCATTATTTATCTTAATTCGGAATAAGGGCATAATTATCATTTTAACAAAAAATTGCCATTTGGATGAGAGACTTGTATATTGGAATTAACCATACACAAATAAATTGAAACGACGAGTCCAATTTACCAAAAATGCATCCCTCTCCCATTTTTGGCCGCCAAGTTTGATTCCCTTTTATTTCCTCCCTTCCCAAATCCCCTGCTAGGAAGGTTTTCTTTTTCTTTATAAATTATAAGTACGACCATAATTTGAATAAAATACGTCTTCTTAATGTAAATATTGAAATTGTCAATTACAATTTTATTTAACCAATTTCCCACACGTGGCCATTTTAGGTTTCTTCAGAATCTAAGGCATGCGATGGTTCCACATTTCTAGTAGTACCATCACTAAGAGGTACACTCCCACTGGGACGGGAGAGTCTCATGACCTTAAGTTAGATTTTGAGCACATTCCAAGGATTCAAATATCTCAAACAAACTATGAATCCTATCCACATTTCGTGTCATGGAAATTCCTCCTCGACTACATTATGAGATTCAGTTTTAGTTACACTTTCTTTGATTTTTTCACCAAGCATCACATTTAGATTTGTTGGAGTTATTGAAAAATGCACCAATTAATTTAACATAATTTTTTATTAAATTGATTGTGCTCCCAATGTTTAACTTACATTTATGACAATCTCACATAAATTTATGGATTCCATAATTGCTCCCAACGAACTTGGACTCCATCGTTCTATTAAAATATTGAGTAAACTCAATAAATCTTAATAAAACATGAGAAAATTAGGCCCACTGTCCTAAAAAAATACATTTTTTATTAATACATTTCAAACTAAATAAAATTATAATTACCGTAGCAAGGGAAAGGTTCCCGGGTGGGGGTATGATACATGTACAACTATACAGGGATCATATGATAAGTCATTATTCAAGACTTATCATGAAATTGATGGAGACCAAGAAATTCAAATGGGCAATGAGGTCCGATCAAAATTAATTGGCAAGGGAAATGTCGATATCATCTTCACTTCCGGGAAAACCATTACTTTAACAAATGCATTTCATGTTCCCGACATGAATAGGAATCTAGTGAGTGGAAATGTCTTGAAAAAATCGGGCATAAAAAATATATTTGAGTCCAGTAAACTTGTATTATCCCTTAACAAGAAATTTGTTGGAAAATGCTATTCTTGTGAATGAATGGTCAAATTATGTACCGTTGACAAATCTTTAAATTATAAAGTTGAATTTTCTTATGTTGTTGATTCATTTTCATTGTGGCATACTAGATTAGGTCATATTGGTAAAAGTACAATGAAAAGAATGATGAAATGTGATTTGATTTCATATGATGAAAATAATGAACATAAGTGCAAAACATGTGTAGAAACTAAATTGACTTAAAGACCATATCAAAGTGTAAAACAGACCTCTAGCATATTAGAACTAATTCATTCCGACATTTGTGAATTAAATGGAATGCTAACTAGAGGTGGAAATAGGTATCTTATTACCTTTAATGATGATTGCACTAGATACACACATGTCTATCTTATGAAGCACAAATATGAGGCCTTTGATATGGGTGGGGCCCATCCCCCATGTGAGAAGGCTGGTAATGGCCTGTGAAATTTTCCCTGTACGTGGGGATTAACTCATTTCTATATCGTGCAAATTTCTAAGCGAGAGTATCATGTAACTCTACCCAGTCGTGTTGGTATTCTAAATGGCCTTAAAGTGATTTGACCCAATCCAACTTGGGAAAATTAGGCCCACTGCCCTAAAAAAATACATTTTGGATTAATACATTTCAAACTAAATAAAATTATAATTACCGTATTAATTACTTCCAAACCTCAAAATACGAATTGGAGGAGGTAGCCGGTAGGTAGAACTTCATTCTGCTGTTGGTAGGTCAAAGAGAGAAGTTTCTTCTCTGAATAGGGTTTCTCCTTCTTGGCTATGGGATACGTTGTTATGGCGCGTTTACTGCTCCATCGTCAATGGTGAGTATACCGCCTGACCCAGGAGGATCATCAACATCTAACAAAAATGTTCAACTGGGAAGGTCCTTTTTGAATGTGGTTAAATGGGGTGGTGGGGCTGTGGTGAAATTGGTGCCCATTCAAATGAAAAATCCAATTCAGATTAATGGGCAGATGGGATTTGTATTCACAGATCAAGAGACAAAAAAATTGGCTAATGATTTAAAGTTTGCTATGGTAATCAAATTTCTTACAACTCGGCCAAATATTGATGAACTACGCAGGGCAGTAATAAAATCGTGGGGATTGACAGATATTCCGTTCATCAGTATCATGGATGTTGTTCATGTTCTCATCCAACTAAACAATGAAGCTAATTTTTTCCACGTTTGGGCTCGAGAGGAAAGATCGGTGACATGGGCGAATTTTCGAATGTTCAAATGGTCACCAGATTTCGACCTAAAAAACGAGCGATCCATAGCGACTCAATGGATTTTCCTTCCTGGATTACCAATGCATCTTTACAGACCTGATTACCTTTGGATGTTCGCCACTTTGTTTGGGAGATATATGGGTACTGACCATGCTACATTGCATCGAACAAGGGCAACAGGTGCAAGAATGTGTGTAGAATTGGATTTGCTTGATGAGAGGGTTAAGGAATTTCCGATAACGGTTTCATCCACAAAAACTATATGGTAGGAGGTTAGACATGAGAAGATAGGTTATTATTGCAAAAAAAGTGGTAGGCAGGGACATCCTGAAACGATCTGCAGGGTTGGGCAAAATGTATGTATTAAAGGTGCAAACCATAAAAAAACTTTTTGTCGCCTTTTAAAATTTTGTCACTTTTTTTTATGTTTTTGTCACCTTTTAAGTTTTTGTCACTTTTTAAGAAAAAAAAAAGTGAAATAATATGTTATATTCTCGTAACATAATCAGCATGTGGATTGACTTAGACGTGTTGTTATTTTAAGAACATGATTACTGGTGCTGCACAAATGAATGTTGTTATTTTAGTATTTGTTAATTTTTTTGTATGATCACTTTTTGAGAGTGTCACTTTTTTTTAGTTTTGTTACTTTTTTTAAAAAAGTAATTTTTTTTTAAAAAAGTGACAATTTTTATAAAAAAAAATAACATTGTATCACTTTTTCATTTTACACAGTATTTTTTACTTTTAAAAACATTTCATATGATTTTTCAAAACATCCATAATTTTAAGGGTATTTTTGTAAGAGAAAATTACATAAAACCAGGGGTTTACTTTGACATTTTTAAAAATCAGGTATAACTTTTAAAAAATCAGGTTTGAAGTTTATTTTTGCAAAAATCAGGTGTTATATTAAAACCCTAATTTACCAATCCTCTCCCCTACCTCATTTCCCCCAAACTCATTCTCTCTCTACCTCTCCTCCCTCTCGTCGATCTCCTCTCTCGTCACCACCCTATTACCAGCCCCGGCCGACGATTGTCGCAAAGCAAGGTGCCGCTGCTATAGATGCGACCCGTCGCCTCCTCCTTTTCAAGTTGTGATGGATAGATTTTCTGGCCGCTCTCGTGGTTTTGGATTTGTTTCCTTTGATGACAAGAAAGCTATGGAAGAAGCTATTGAAGCTATGAATGGAATGGAATGGATCTTGATGGATGGTCAATTACTATGGATAAAGCTCAGCTAAACCACGGATCTGGTAGAGATCGGGATGGGGACCGGGACCGGGGCCGTGACCGTGATAGGGAGAGAAATCTTGAACATGTGGGTGGGCGTGGATCTGGTGGAGACTGCTTCAAATGTGGAAAGCCCGGGCATTTTGCTAGGGAATGTCCCACTGGAGAAGGGCAAAGAGGAGGCGGGGGCTGCAGTAGACATTGTGGTAGGGATGACAAATATGGAGGTGGTGGCCACTACGGTCCCGATCGTAATGGTGGACGGAACGGGGACTCTGATAGCCGTGGAGGATCAGGAAATGATAAGTATACGTCACAATATACAAAACCTATTACAGTAATATACGAGGTTGGATTTTGAGGCTCGGCTAGTATAAGATAGGGAAAAGTTGCAAGAAGAAAGATAAAAACTGGATCTATGGTAGAAGTATCGAGAGGACAAGGTTCTACACAAGAAACTCTCCTATATAGCTTGAGGATTGGGTTGTATATGCATAATAATGAATCCGTGAGTGGTTGGTGTTATTACAAAATGCTAACTGTAATCAGAATTTGGTATATCCCTATAAGAATTTACACAAAACAAAGTCATGTGAAGGCAATTTTTTGGCATATTGTGTGGTGAGTTTGGAGTGGATAGAACCAAAAGGGAACTATTTTATTCACGGGTAATAGGATTTAATCAGAAGGGTCTGTGGCCTTTTGCTTTTTGGAGCATGGAATAGAAGGTTCAATAGTCGGAATCTGGAATTTATCTGATGTATTAGTTGGAAATTTGTTTTGTGGAGGTCGTGGATCTGTGGTGGCATGTTTTGGGCGGTGGTGTGGATCTGTGGTGGCGATCGTGTGGTGGTGATGGTGATCCGTGTGGTGGTAGTAATTTTTTGTTATTGTTGTGCTGGGGTCAACGGTGGTGGTGGTTCTTTTTGGTGTCTGTGATATAGCTATTGAACTGTGGCTTTAAAATTGATAATTTGTGAATAAAAAAGAATCTGTGACCAATAAATTTGAAAATACGTGACCCGTGACATATAATTTTTTTGATCTGTGACCTATAAAATTTTAGATTTGTGACCACGAAATAATCCGTGACCTACAAAATTTTTTATCTGTGACCGATAAAAAAATTGTAACCTACAAAATTTTTTATTTGTGATCTCGAAATATTCTGTGACCTACAAAATTTTTGATCTGTGACCGATAAAAAAATTGTGACCTACAAAATTTTTGATCCGTGACCTCGAAATATTCTGTGATCTACAAAATTTTTGATCTGTGACCGGAGTGGTCGCCGGCCACCGGAGTAGTCGCCCGAGCAGTAAGAGAGGTGGGGTGGGTAGGTTAATTATATTATATTATATTACTGTTTAATATTTAATTTAATAAAATAATTGTGAAATATAATAATTAATTCATGGAAAACCTAACTTTTGCAATTTTGAAATTTAGGGCCTGATTTTTTATTTCATAATAGATAATACCTGATCCATGAATTTTTCCATTTTCGTAAGAACCCCATAAAACATTTAGGTAGATGTCATTAATCTTTATAAAACTCCTAAATCATTAAAGGGCCTCTTAAAAAAAACCCAAATCTTGCCCAAATCCAAAACCCCTCAAATTCCTTCTCGGCTTCTCCAACCGTCTCTCTCTACAAATTCCAATCATCTTCTAATCTTCCCCCCAAAAATTCTCTCTATTCTATACACCTTGCTGAAAAATTCGCTTTCCCTTTTTTTCTCAGATTCTTCCTTGAATGCATAAATTTTTTTCTCTGTACTAAGCCACAGTTTTCCTCTGTACTAAGACGCAGTCTGTGATTTGAGGCCTTTGGAATCACGAAGGTGAGATGGGTTATTCGATCTTTAATTTTAATGGTATATTTGTGTTATTTTTCTTGTTTACAAAGCTTATCATTGTTGTTTTTCAGAAATATCAGCATGTTTGGTCTGCATCAGATACAAATACGAGTTTTGGATTTGAACGGCCAAGATTAGTTGCCAAGAAAATCTTGGCCAATCCTCAAAGTGAAGGTGATGGTACTGCTGCTAGAATAGTTAGTGACTTATTGCATTTTAATTAGTTTGAAAATGGGTTTGTTTTGGGAGGTACTGGATAATATTCTGGTAAACTAAGGAATGGATTTTCTGATTGGAATGTATTTAGAGAGTTATAATAGTAATTCAAAATTTAACGGGGTTTTTCTATCCATTTTACTTCTACTTATCTTGTATAGAACAAATAAAATAGGTTTAGGAAAAGTAGAATCAGGATTTAAATTATACAAAACTAGTTGGGATAAGACCTACAAATAGGATTCCTTGCAGGCAACTTCAATGTACACCAAGAGTTTACTTTAATACGGTCATTTCCTCTGAAGTCTCTACGGTTTTCTTTTCCCCACTAAGTCACGGCATCAGGATTTCTCCCTGTCCAAATCCACAGATTATTAAGGGTTGACTGATTGCCATAAATCCTTCATTGATTGCTAAGAATGTCACGATCAGAAACCATATGACTTGGCATCGAACAAATGGTACAATTCAATGGAATCTTTGTCCGTTTTATGCAAAAAGTTCAAATAGTTGGAGTAAACAAATGAAGGTCTTGTTCACATATCAAGAACTTCTAAAGTTGCAGAGTATGTTGATGATTATGGATAAAATAATTTGACATTGGAACAAAGACAACAACAAAAGTAGGGCAAAAGTAGTATTTCTTTCTACTTTCTGTACATAGGGATTTTCGTTCTTCATTGGTAATATTTTTGAGTGACATTTTGGCACATAGACGTTCATCCACTTGAATAGAAGCAAAAGCCCCCTTAATTTGCTGTAATAGAAGCAAAAACCCACCTTGTGAGAAAATGATTATGTTGAAGGGTCTCATAATAATTAGTTGTCTAGGGCTCTAAATTCTCAGGACCGGCCCTGGTTAAACATATCCCTAATGGACCACTCTTGAGTTTACTCAACGAGCGACATCGATAAGGGATTCTGAATTTTCATTATAGTGATGGAAGGTAAATATAAATCTAACTTAATGTTTTAATGAGGCGTTTCACATCCGAAGATCTCATCACACATACACACACACACACACACACAGATATATATATATATATATACACATACATCTAACACGCAAATAAATATATTCATAACAAATTGTGTGGATGATTATGGACTTATACTATTTAGTATTTTCGAGTCAAAAGAAAGACTAGTTGGTCAATTTCTAGGGAACATGTCATTAAATCGTATAATGCTCCGTCTCTATGAGTTTCTCTTTTGTATTTTCAATTAATCTAGTTGCAACTTGTATCATATACTAGTTGGTGTAACAACCCGACATCTATGGTCAAATCGTTAATTTACGTACTGTTCGCTATAGAATAGCCCGGCTCATCTTACACCTTACGATTTTCTGTCGCATCCCCCAAAATTAGAACGCAAGACTTCTACATTATGAAAGACTTGAGTTGAATATAGATAGTTGCAAGAGTGTATCATAAGTATTGGACTGGAAAATATTCTTTGTACGCCTAGTCATGTGTCTATAAAGCTAATGGAAGCTAGGATTGTCTTATAGGCTCAAACAACGAACTTCACTATGGTGGCCCAAATGAACAGTCGTAGAAGAATAGGTAGGTCCTCCAAAAGATCAATAAGACCAAAGAAGAGTGGACTTGTAAACAATCTTAGTTAAATTTACAATTTTTTCTTTTAAGGATGAATTTTCCTCAATCAAAGAATGGTAACTAACTTTTTCTTTTTCAAAATCCTTTTGAGTTTCTAAAATTTTCTTGACTTCATTTTTCAATAGAGAACGTTTCTTTTTTAGAAGGGAGGGATTTGATAAGTGCATTTCTTTCACTTATTTAATTTGTCAGAATGTGGATATTTGTGATAATTTGGATGGAATTGTGGCTAAAAATGTGGTTTACTTAATATTTAGGTTCACATCGACGAATACAACGAATGTGGAGGAAATGATTAAAAAAAAGGGATTTGATCGAGACAACAAGGGGATGAGAACTAAAATGTAAATAATCAAAAGATAGCTCGGAGCGAGAAACGAAAGTCTAGAGTGGGAAGAGTCATGTGGACATGAAGAGAAGAGCGAGGTGCCAAAATGGGAGCTAGTGGAAAGTTAGGGGCCAAATTGCAATTGGCCCCATTATCACCAAAATTCACCCCTAAGGGGCGCGCCCTTGCCGCGCGCCTCACACCATAACACCTAAGGCGCGCACCTTAGGTTATACTAGGTGCGCGCCTCAGGGTAGACGGGGACAAATGTGTAATTTTATTATTTCGTTTTGGTGATATTTTAGGGCATTTTTGAAGTAGAAGAGGGGAGTTTTTGCTCGGGGATTTGAGAGAGGCAGCCGTATTTTGAGAGCAAGATAGAGAAAACTTACATTGAAGAAGGAGAAATTCACCATTTGGATCCGATTTCGAAAGTTTGGAGCGAAGATTTCTAGATTTTCTTCCTATTTACATGATTCGGGTGATGGCTTTCTTTTATTTTCTTGTAATTTTCATATTAGTATGCTAGGCTAAGTTTATTTGTATTGGATGGATGATGAAACTACTTGATTTCTAGTTTTCAATTCAAGACTTGTGATTTTTAGTTAATTCTTGCGTTGTGATTTTATATACATGCTTTTTCATATTATTTTAATGTTTGCGCACCATTAGGACAATAAGTTGCTTGTTCGTAGTGTTGAAAAATTCACGATAGGTAGAACACTGTATATCGAACACATGAAAAATAAATATTAGAAATAATATTTGTGAAATGTGCGATCGTGTGTGATAATCCTATGTTGTAATGCATGTTTATCATATGAATGCGAACTAGGAATATGATCGTGTCGTGGTCAATATAAGTTTATTATATATTGGAAAAGAATAATAAATAAAAGTGGAATTATCGATCGTCACGAATGCAATGATTGAATTAATAGTTACAAGTTGAGAATTAAATTCTAAAGTCAAGTAGTGGATTCGGAAATCCAATACATTCATCCACACTCGATTTTATAACAAAAAAAATACCATTTTATTGCTTTATAGTTTAGAGCGTAACTAAATACAAATCAATCATCTTTTATTATTGTTGCGAATCTAGATACATCGGATACACTAGAATTAAGCCTTATTTCCTGTGAGACGATAACTCACTCATCATAATTATTACTTGTACAACGAACCTGTACACTTGCGGGATATTTTGTCAACAAGTTTTTGGCGCTATTGTCGGGGAATAACTTCGTTTATTCTAGTTATGAATATTTTAGATTCGTTGCTATTGTTAGTTTTGTTGCTGTAGGTTGGTTTTACATTGCCTCATTCTCTGTTGTTTCAGGCAGAATTGGTTTATGTAAGCTCCTGACGAGGTTAATCTAGCCCCGATAGATCACAAAATTGAAAGGACATTCAGAAACCGCAGAAGAGGACAATGTCAAGCAAGGAGAATGGCTGATAATCAGAATCAACCACAGAACCAGGGTCGTGCTCCAGTTCATAATTAATCGTCGCAACCAAATCAATAGAGAGCCATCCAAAGTGAAGCTCCCATTTTAGTTGGGGACTATGTCAATGCAATTCCTGCTCGAGTGTAACCTGCCATGATTTATCCTCCATTCGGGCAACCCAACTTCCACCTCAAACCGAATGTCATAAATCTATTCCAAATAAATTGAAAGGACATTCAGAAACCGTAGAAGAGGAGGTTGATTTTACATTGTCTCATTCTCTGTTGTCTTGATTTTTTTTCCAGGTAGAATTGGTTTATGCAAGCTCCTAACGAGGTTAATCTAGCCCCAATAGATCACGAAATTGAAAGGACATTCAGAAACTGTAGAAGAGGACAACGTCAAGCAAGGAGAATGGCTGATAATCAGAATCAACAACAGAATCAGGCTCAGGGTCAAGTGCACAATCAACTCCCGCAGCCAAATCAACATAGAGCCATCCAGAATGAAGCTCCCATTTTAGTTGGGGACTATGTCAATCCAATTCCCACTCCAGTGCAACTCGTTGTGATTTATCCTGCATTCGAACAACCTAACTTCCACCTCAGACCGAATGTCATAAATCTATTCCAAAATCATCAAGACATCAGGTTTTTCGGGAATTCACGGAGAACCCTCATGAACATATCTCAGCATTTCTCATGTTCTGTGAAGTTATTAGTCACGAAGGGATATCGGCAGATGCATTTCGAACGCGATTATTCCCTCATATTTTGAAGGATGCTGCTATGGCATGGTTCCTCAGTCTACCTCCAGGCAGTATACAATCGTGGAATGATATGATTCAAAAATTCACCATGAAATTCTTTCCACCCTCTAGAGTTCATCAAATCAGGAATGAAATCCACACCTTCAAACAGAAAGATTTCGAGAGCTATTCTAAAGCTTGGGATAGGTTCAAGAATCTGTTTAGAAAATGCCCTAGCTTGGACACTCTGAAGCAGGCTAAATAATATCTTTTCTATAATGGACTACACTAGGAGTTTAGAAACATGATGATGCTTCAGCGGGAGGATCAGTGATGAAACTTGACGTAGATGATGCATAAGAACTATATGAGAAGATAGCTGAGAATCAATCAATGTGGCCAACTGAAAGGGAAGCTCTAAGGAAAATAGCTGGGGTGCACAACGTGGATGCAATGACAGCATTGGTAGCACAAATAGAGGCCCTCATAGCGAAAATGGATAATCTATCCTAATTTCAATCAGTCAACATGGTACACCAATCACCGCCTGTATGCGAAGGTTGTGGAGCTGACCACCTGACCACACGCTGCCCATTGGCATCTACACAAGTTTCGCAGCCTGAAGAGGTCATCTATGCACAGAACTTCCTAAGGCAACAAAACAATCCCTACTCCAACATTTACAATCCAGGTTGGAGAAATCATCCTAATTTCTCATGGTCAAATAACCAGGGACAATGAGGAAATAACCAAAACAAGCCACCAGGGTTCCATAATCATCAACAATAAGAGAAAAAGTCATCATTTGAAGATCTGCTATCTCAGTACATCACAAAGACTGAGACCAATTTTCAGA